TCAGGGAATCCTCCTGCCTTGGCCTCCCAAAGTGCTAGGATTACAGGTGTGGGCCACCATGTCCGGCCATGAATAGCAGTTATGTATGTACGTATGTATTTTATTTAGACAGGGTCTCACTGTGTGGCTAGAGTGCCATGGCGTCATCCTAGCTCACAGCAACTCAACTCAACTCAAACTCCTGGGCTTAAGCGATCCTCCTGCCTCAGCCTCCCAAGTAGCTGGGACTACGGGCGCGCACCACCACGCCCAGCTAATTTTTCTATTTTTAGTAGAGATGGGGGGGGTCTCACTCTTGCTCAGACTGGTCTCGAACTCCTGCTCTCAAGTGATCCTCCCACCTGAGCCTCCCAGAGTGCTGGGATTACAGCTGTGAGCCACCACACCTGGCTAACATTTAAAAATGGAACAGACTACGATAGAACATTCCTGCGCCAGGAGAGGTATGTTTTGTACGAGTTTGTTTCAGTCGCGTACATCGGGTAGTGATGGAAAAATTCATTTCTTGAATCTTGGTCAAAAAAGTCCGAAAGCCACCAACTTAAACATGTGTCAGCCAGGCGCCATGTTCTGAATGGCGGCTTCTCAGCAAGTCATTCTCTGTTCCCGAGGGCCCCCCACAGAGCAGGGACACTTACAGATCTGATGGGAAATGAGATCGTTCCTGTAAGGAACTTAGCGCGATGCCTGTGGTAGAAGGAATCCACTCGATGTGTGTCAATTATTATTCTCCGATGTCTCTCCCACATGCACTTCCTCTCCCAGCTACGACAGGACCCTCTCCAGGAAAGAGGGGAGCAAGCCATGCGAGAGAACACGGCGTCCCCCAAACAGGTCAGCGGAGGAGGCAAAGGGAGCCCCCGGGAAGACCCTGCGGCAGCCACGGGAAGGCCAGGGCAGCGTGGGCCAGGCTGCGGGAGGGCGTCCTGGGTCGGGGGCAGAAGTGCTGGGGCAGGCGGACTGGACCGAAACTTTTAGTGCTTTGTCAGCAAGTCTGGGCGGAATTAGGGGTAGTTAGGTAGAAAACCATGCAAAAGAAAAACAAAATGGGAAAACAGTCGTGCAAGAAAGGAAACAGTCTTGCTGAGCTGTGAGGCCGCGTGACACCCTCCGCAGCACCCAAGGTCGGCGCGCTGGGCCATGACAGTGACGTGGGCCTCCCCGACACAAAGTCTCAGTGGCCGGCTCTGGTCCCAGCCACTTTGTTGCCGTGACCCCCACATGGATGACCCATACCGCAGGACTCAGTTTCCTCATCCACAAACGGCCGAGTGGCTCCTGTCAGGCTGGAGACTGACGGAGAGGGAGCCCAGCAGGGCTGGGCCTGCGGTGGGGGCTTGTCACCCCCTGGGCCCCAATAGCTCCCCAGGTTTGTACCCCCCAGCCCCACACTGGGGGCCGTGCTGTCCTGCCAGTGGACAGCGGGTCCCAAACCAAGGTGGACAGATGCCTCTGGCTCTAGAGCTGGCCGCGTCCTTCCCAGGAAGCACAGTAGCCTTGGTCCAGCCCAGGGAGCCGGCTCCTTCCTGCCAGGCTCAGCTCCACACTGAGGGTCTCCCCGTGCCCCTCAGGCAGTGGGAGTACAGCACGTTAGAGGTTCTGGCCTCACCTGGCACACGCGCGTGCATCTGGGGCGAGCAGGGCCCGGCTGCAGCGCCGGGAGAGGAGCCAAGCCTCCCGGGCTATGAGCGGGCTCTGAAGCCGCAGCACCACGCTGGTCAGGACCCAGGCCCGGTCTCAGCAGAGCGCCCAAAAGACTATGGCACCTCAGGGGTGCAGCCGCCAAGTGAGGAGGCCTGGGGGCTGGGGCTGGGCTCACTGACAGGCCCCATTGCCTTGGCAGCTGTCAAAACCAACCACTGGGCCCAAGAGGCAGGGCCCAGAGCACACCTCCAGCGCCACCGCCACCAGCTCTGGCCCTGCTGGGGCCTCCCCTGGCTGGAATCCAAGCTGACCACTGCTAGGACAAGCTGGGGTGAGGGGCAGGTCGCAGGCCAGACATCACACAGGCAGCTCGGCAGCCCCCCACCCCCCTCTGCCCTCTCTCCCCGGGGACGCCCCAGCACTGGACTGAGAAACAGGGAGAAGGGGCTGCAGGTCCCACAGGCTGGGGGGACAGGGTGGAGGTTCCACAGGCAAGAGGGGACAGCCTCTTGTGGCCTGGGAGGAGCCACAGAGATAAAAATAAAACCCCAAAATTGCTTTCCAAGGTTGTGGTTGGGGACAAAGGCTTCTAAGCCACAGGCATGGTAAGCTCTGCAGCCCAGGCAGGGTCTGGGCCCTGCGAGAGGGGCACAGGGTGCAGGGACAGGGTGGGGCAGCTGGTGCTGCCTCAACAGGGTCGTGACATCTGGGGCTGATGGTCCTGTGTCGGGGGCGTCCCTGACCTCCACCCACCACTGTCGGTAGCACCCCCCATCGTGACAGCTGAAGGCCTAAGAACCACTGCTGTGGAGGAACTGTGAGGCCGGGTGGCAGGAGCCCCTGGCTGGCCTGCCGCCTTCGAGCACCCGAGCCGGCCCCACGAGGGGTGGAGGTCAGGGTGGGTGCCCAGTGCCACATGTGCTGTCTGGGTGTGCCACACGGGCCACCCAGACAGCTCAACTGAGCACCCCACTTCTCTCCCACCCTGGCCTGGGGACCTCTATCCCACTCACAGCTGGGGAAACTGAGACCAGGGGGAATGCCTGTGACCCCAGCTAGGGGCCTGCATGGAGCTTCCCCCAGTGCCGTGGTTCTCAGCCTGGCCCTTGAGGGGGGGAGGGGGAGCTGCCAGGAACCAGGCTGCTGCCCCCTCGTGGTGCCCAGGGGGAGCACGCCCACACCCACTGCAGTCTCTGGACCCCTCCAGGTCCCAGCAGCCTCATCCCCTCAGGGCCCACTGCAGGCAGCCCCTCTGTGAGACCACACCCATCCGAGGACAGGGACCTGGACAGGGCCCGGCTGTCTGGAAGCCTGTTTCCCTTACTGATTGGCATGTGCAAGGCCTTGGCCCACGGGGCCCCTTGGAACAACCTGTGTTATCAACAAGTCTGCTCTGTTCTAGAAATTGCTGGTTGGCTGGGCACTGTGGCTCACACCTGTAATCCCAGCACTTTGGAAGGCAGAGGCAGGAGGACTGCTTGAGCCCAGGAGTTTGAGAGCAGGCTGGGAAACACAGTGAGACCCCATCTCTACAAAATTTAAGAATTAGCCAGGCGTGGTAACACACACCTGTGGTCCCAACCACTCAGGAGGCCAAGGCAGGAGGATCCCTTGAGCCCAGGAGTCTGTGGCTGCAGTGGCTGTGATCACTGTACTCTACCCTGGGCAACAGAGCGAGACCCATTTTAAAATAAAAAAAAAAAAAGAAGCCCTCATGGGCCCCTGGTGAGAGGCAGCACAACCCTGACGTGGGTGATGGCAGGGTCTCCACGTGACGACCTGGGGAAGATGCGCTGGTTTTCCTCTCTGGTAACTCAGCTGTCGGGGAGCAGGGCAGAGGAGAACTGGCCAGGATAGGGTGCCTGGTGCCCCAGCCCAGCTCCCCAGCCCCCCATGCCTTGATGCAGAAGCCCAGAGACCCCTCCAGGCCCTCCGACGTTAGGGTAGCGCATTCCTCTCCTCCCAGAGAGCAACCTGGAATCACCGGTGGCCTCCAGCTCCGCAAAGGCTGCCCCTTCCTCAGCCAGCCCCAATCCTGAACCTTCCAAAGCACACCCTCTGGGGCGTCCCATCCCAAGTAGCCCCACCCCCACTCAAGACCCCAGAAGTGGCAGATGCTGAGGAGCCAACAGCACCTGGGAAGGCTGGCAGCCACACCAACACCCTGGCCCCCGCAGCTGGATGGGACTGTCCTAGCCGAGCATGACGGCTCAGGGGACCACCGGAGACCCAGGCCCATGAAGCCTGCAGGGTGCCATCCACCATCTCTAGGGGCACAAGGCCCTCCCTGAGCCCCCACTCGTAACATATAACCCAGTCACACCCCCACCGCAGTTTGGGCCCCCCCCAGCCCCAGCGCAGCCCTCTACCGTCCGTGTGTTCGTGAAAGTCTGCCCCCGCCCAAGGAGCTAAGGGAGGGGCTGCAGCAACCGGTCCTGCCCAGGCACAGGGCACACACTCATCGACAGTGAGGCTCTTGTTCCCGCGGGCCCAGCACTGTCAGGATGGAGGACAAGGGCCAGCTAGAAAAAGGGACAGACAACCTGCCGCCTGGTGCACTGGACTCCTACAATACTAGAGAACGGCACCCGCCTCAAGACAGCCCGCACCAGGCAGGAGAGGCTCCAGGCCAGCCCGAGACAGCTGAGTCCTCTGAACATTTATTACGATGGGTCACTAGCAGCAAGAGGGGAAGGGGAGAGGGACACAGACTCATTTATCCTTCAGGTAGATCTTGGGGGTCTGCCAGCCTGCAGGAGGTTCCTTCAGACCTGCCTTCAGCCAGATGCGCCTCAGGTCTCTCTCGAACTTGATCTGCAAGGACGGAAAAAGAGACCACAAACTAACTTGTGGCAAAGCCATGCATTCCCAGCACACTGCCCACCCAGGGCTGAAGAAGGGCCCCGCTCACCTGCTTCCGTTTCAGGCGTCCTGCCCGGATCTTCCGCCGCAGGAACCGTGTCCTCTTGACCAACTTGCGGTACTTGTGGTGGTTCATCTTCCGCCGGCGGATCTTCAGCACGTTTTTGCACTGCATGTGAGGTGCATCCCAGACCCCCTCACCCTCCTGTTTGGGCCCTTCCCCCACCTGGCTAGGGGGACACTGGTAAAATTGGGCTGAAGCCACAGTCCCAGAGGACCCGGCATCCAGTTTGGGCAGAAGGTACCGGGCAGTGAGCCAGCTCTCCAGGGGGCTAACGGACAACTTCCTGGGCACTAGCATCCCCTCAAGCTCTAGCTGGGCTCCCTTCCCCGGGAGGGAGGCAGCCCTTCTTGGGCCTGTTGGCTGCACGCTGTATCGGGACCTGTGGGCATGATTGTTCAGCACCCCTGAGACAGGCCAGGGCCGACTGCAGCCTGCAGAAAACAAGATGGCACAGTTACCACCCATGAGGCTGTCGCAACCTCAGGGATCACGGTGATGACTGGCATGCACCTCATTCCTGGCCCAAAGCCCTGCTGATGCTCTGGGGCCCAGACCTCCCCGGGACGTACTTGGAAATTTACAGGGGAAAGAGTCTGGCCGGGGGCCCTGCCTCCAGCTATCAAGGCAAAAGCTGAGGGCGGGTTGGGCTGCTGAGACCCACATTCCTAACCAGGTGTGCATCCTTCCCATCTGCTCCCACAGGGCCTCCTACCTGCCCAGGGGACAATCTTGACCAGCTGAGAAGTAAGGCGCGTCAGAAACATGGTCTGTGGGTGGCAACCCCAGGTGCTCAGGGGAGCTGGAACACATGTGCCGTTCAGATCACGTGGGGCGGCTGCGCAGCGGCCTCAGCAGTCGCAGGCAGGCCACGACCGGGGTCTCTGTCCTGCCGCGACTCCCGCATCCCCTCACCCTCGGTCACCCGAGCTCACAAAGAGGACGCTGCTTCGAACACCGCTCGCCCTCAACGACGAGTCCGGCTCAAATCCCGCCGCCACCACCACTGCCCAGCTGTGTGACTCTGGCAGGACACTCGCCCTCCCCGAGCCTCGGTGTCACCCCGCGAAGCGCCCAGCCCACAACGCGGGGCGCCGTCGACTCTCGGACGCACCCAAGGCTCCCAGGCCCGGGACCCGGCCTCGATCCGGCGCGGCTCGCGCAGCCTGGCGCCGGGACCCTCTCGGCTGTCCCCGGGGTCCGCCCGCAGCAGTGCCCCGCGCCCCCAGGCTTCCCACCGACCTCCCCCACCCTCGACCCCAGCGGCCCAAACTGACCATTCTGCCGCCAAGCTCAGGCGCTTCCGGTCCGTCCCCAAACCGGTTCCCCGTCTGCAGCGGCCGCCCGACGGTTCCGACGCCCAGCGCCCCCTGGCGTCCTCCCGGCGCCCGATTCCACGTCGGCGCAGGCCCCGCGGGCCCAAAAGGTGAGAGGACCCGCCCTCTCCGCCCCAGCCTCGGGGCGATGCCTCAGCTCCGCCTTGTCCCTTATGGAGCCAGGAAGACGACATTTCCCACAATCCCAAGGGGTGCCCTCTACTCCTGCGCAGCCCGCATCACGTGTCATTTCCGGGCCTCCAGGGCCCGGGTCCCCCGAGGACTCGAGCGGCGAGCTCAAGACTGAGGAAGTGACGTACGCGGCGGCGGAAGTGGCTGGGGCTGCTTCCTCTGTTTGGGCTAGAGGCAACGACCTGGAGCCAGGCGCTGTGCCTGCGGGCCGGGCCACCCCGACTCCTCGCTGCGGGGCTGGAGAGCAGCCCTGCATGAGGAGAAGAAGGCAGACAGGTGACGGCTCGGCCCGAGCTCCCGCCATGCCAGGAGTGTTGGGGGCGGAACCGTGGGCGCCCCCTTGTCGGGAGGGTTCCCCTGCTCAGCCTCCAACTGACAGCTCATGGTGCCTCATCCCTTTGACCCGGCAGCCTCCTCTCTCCCCCAGTCCGGATAAGTGGAGGAGGCCCTGCATCTACCGCGGAGCAACACAACGCTTCTTGCATAGATGAATTTTCTTTCCATTTTAAAAGCAAGCATGTCCCCATTTGGCCTGCCCAGAGGCTTGCCTTGCAGGAGCGTTTTCCAGAGAGTCTTAGCAGTAAGTGGCCAGGCTGCGTCATCCCCTGGGGGCAAAATGCTTATATGGTCCCAGCCCTGACCCTCCCCCCATCCTCCTGGCCCAGCTTCCATCACTGTTTTCCCCAGATCAGTTCCCAGGAACTGACACAGTGAGGACTGTCCCCCGGGGCAGACCGCCTGTCCCGGCAACCTCCCCGGGGCTGGTAGGACAGGTAGAAAGGGGCCAGCTGTCTCATGGAGGGACCCAGCCGAGCCTGGCTTTCAGGACACCCAAAATCTTGGTGTCAACCTCGATGCTCCCCAGGGAAGACCTTTTACCTAGGAGACAGGCGGAAACCTGTGACCCCCAGGTCCAGAGGGAGCTCTGCAGAGTGAGCTGCAGCCATGGGAGGAGGCAAGCAGGAGCCTCACGTCAGGGACCACTGGAGGCAGCCACCACGTGCCCCAACTCAAACCAGCCACTCTCCAGCTGGGGCCACCAGGGAGCCCTTTGTCCCACCTCCAGGTCCAGCCCTGGAATCTCATGGCCCTGCAGGGGACCTCCACTGGGGACTCCACTCCACCCCTGCCCCCCACACCAGCACCTGGCCTGGAGCCCTCTGCAGGGCCCTTGGAGGAGGGGCAGGGCCCTGCGCTGTGTGGGGCCTCAGCACCTCCGCCTCGCCCTCAGGGAGCTGGGCCCCTGGGCTGGCCAAGCCAGCTCTGCACCTGCTGCTCCTCCCTGGCCTGCAGAGAAGCCACAGAGCAAAGGCACCCTCACATCCCAGGCCCAGTCGGGGCACCTCCCCCACGGGAGGACGCTGTGCTTTTAGAGAAGGGCCTGACCAGGTGGGCCGGGGACTCTAGTGGGGCCCAGCCAGGTGCCAGCAATTGGCCAGACAAGGTGGATGGCATGGGCAGGTCATCTGCCAGGTCACATTTTCCTTGCTCAGTACCCGGAGCTCAGGGGCCACAGCCAAGGGGTCACAGGCAGAGAGCACCCCAAATCTGGCCCTACCTCTACTACTGTTCTCAGGGCCTGGAGTGCAGCCCGGGGCCCCTGCCCTAAGTACCCACCATCCTGGTAGGACATGGGGGAAGAACAAAGAAACCACCACCCTTGCTTCAAAGAGTGCAATGGCGTTGAAGGGGCAGGGTGGTGCTAAGGTGGCTAGGCAGGTGCCTGGGGCAGCGTAGGACCCTCTCCCTGAGGGCTGACTGCCCATAAATGGTAAGGGGGATGGGCCGTCCCATCGAGCAGCGCCGAGATCCAGCCCACAGCAAGATCCAGCCCAACCGTCTATCGTTCCTGGAAAGGAGGGAGCAGCAGGGGCGATTAGGCCCTAGTCGGCCAAGAACCACCAGCCACCAGCGCTGCCCGTAAAGAGCCCTGTAAGAGCCCTGTGGAGTAACTTTGTTCCCAAACCTTCCCACCTGCTGCCCCCAGGACGCAGCCTGTCATCTCGCCAGGCAGAGGGCCGGGCCCAGCGAGTTCACAGAGCAGGGAGCGGGGCCAGCAGCTCCTGAGGCCGGGAAGCTGCTGTGCACTCGAGCAAGCAGACGACAGGCTACAAATCTTTATCTTCCCAAGTGTCCTGAGCAGAGTTGTGTTTATTCCACCACATAAAATGCATATATAGGAAACTTCTCTAGGAGCTGGTGGCCTGCACTCAGCATTGCACAGATAAAAATATACGACTTTCAACACAGATCTAAATACCTTCACAGTTAAAAAATCAGAATTCTCTACGCAAGTTTTAAGCTGACAGAATTCAAGTTCTGAGTTTTCATGTATAGCTTTAACTTGTTTTAAACACATGTTTATTTACAACATGGACAGAGAATAAAGGGCTATTAAGGCCATTTTCTCACTGTGAAACACTGCAAAATATGTACATAGTACAACCTAATATAGGCAGAGGTTCTAAAAATCATCCTTCTTGGCTTAACGTAATTGAGCACTGGTAGGGGTGGGGAGGTGGCTGCCGACAGATAGCACCAGGCCACGCCACGGGGCCATGTGGGTTTGCTTGTCCACCGAGCTGCCCGCAGGGCTCCTGCCAAGGTGGGACAGGTGTGTGCTGAGCCCCAGGCCAGCCTGAAGCGCACCTCACCATCCCCTCAGTTCCATTTCCAAATTCATCTCAAAGTCTGGCCATAAACCAGTTCCAGAAAGAATCGTGCTGCAGGGCCGATCGGCTGAGATGTGCACGACAGGGAGGGTCAAAGGGCAGCCCCCAGACAGCCCAGGGGAAGGGGCCCGTGCCCCACCAGTCAGCAGGACCCCACCTCACCTCCGATGCCTGCCGTGCCCAGGGTGGTCCCGCTCGTAGCGATGGCCCGTGCGGTCGTACGACCTCGAGCGTTCCCGTGGCTGTTCTCTGGAGTAATGACTTTTCTTCTTGTATTTTCCAGAATTCTCTGCCCGCTCCCGTGACCGGCTTCGAGAGCGGGATGAGCTCCGGCTCCGAGATTTGTGTGGCTTCTGAGTGGGGTACTTGTAGTCCTTGGACTTCCTGGGGCCCCTCGCTTCGGAGCCTTTGTAGGGAGCGCTGCGGTGCGCCTGTCTCGGCGGGGAGTCACTCCGGCTCCGAGAGCGGCTCTGTGACTTGGACCCGCCAGACACTGAGCCACTGTCGCTCTTCCTGTGAGGAGGGACAGCACCACCACAGGTGACCACCTGTCACAACCAGGCCTTGACATACCCACTGGGTCTCACAGAGGCAAGAGCTCCAGGTTTAGAGAAGCAAGAAACCACCTCAGGGTAAGAACCACTGTCCTCAAGGGTAGCCACGTCACCTCCTGCCACCTGGGGAAAACACCAAAGCATATACCTCCTCTTAGGAGAAGCAGATCGTGACGGGGACCTCGAGTAGCTCTGCTCACAGCTCCTGCTCCGACTTCGACTCTCTCGCCCCTTTGGCAAGCTGTCAACAGGACGGGAGCTGGTTACAGACCTGGAGTCTCTCCAACAACCCTGCTGGCCACCCGGGCAGCTCTGGGCGCCTTACCCATTCACAGGGCTGTCAGCCTTGGCTTTCTTCACTCCCTCTGTTCTCCTCTTGGTGCTCTTCACAGAGAGCGGGGAAGCCTTGTTCCCTTTGCTTTCTTTGGGGGATTCTACTAGAATCAAGTACAAGAAGTTAAAAACAAAAAACTTATTTCTTCTGGTAAGAAATAAGCTAGCAGAGTGAGCTAAGGCCACTTGTACAGGTCTGAACTTCCTGCTGCCAGCCTGGGATGCATCACAGATACGCAGAAGGGCCCTCTAACCCCTCACCTTTCCTCAGGGACTGGGCAGTGGGCACCAGACTTACCTCTAGGTTCCGACAATACAATCTATTGCCCCAGCTTGCAAAATTTTTATCTAATGACAAGCTAACTGGGTAAGTAGAGTAAACAAAAGCATTTTAGAAAGCCTGTCCGTGTTCCTCACTAATGAAAATACACAGACAAAATCCTCTCAGGGCCCCAGCGTCTCATGTCAAAGGTCACCAGCGGTGAGGGACTCCAGTGCCTGCGGGGCACTCTGATAAGCTGCGGATTCAAGTCCGAGAGAAATCGAGCGGGAAGGAGCACAGAAGCTCCAGAGGGTCACCGAGCTTCACCCTGTGGGGCGCGGACTCCTGTCCCGACACTCACCCAGCTTGGGGGCAGGCGAGAACCCAGATGTGCCGTCCAGAACCCGTGTGCCCCCAGGCAGCAGGGCCCTGGCTTGTGCCTTTGCCTCCTCCATGGCCTGTTTCCTCTTCTCCACTTCACCTTCCAGGTGTGTCAGATCAACCTGCACAAACCAGAGTCCCTGCTCTTAGCACAGAGGCTTCTGATCAAAGATAAATGCGTATGTTATAGGAAAAAACATAGACGAACCTTTTTCCGTGTATAAAGCTGCAGAATTTTTAAGCAGATTTCTTGAATTTCTTCTTCAGTTGCTCCAAACAAAAGAAACCAATGGGGACGACTGGGCAGAGGGATCTGTGAACACACACTCACTGTCACACTTTTCTCGACAGCTGCACGGCCAGCAAGACCCACTCGGGGCAATAAAAACAGCCTGCTGACCACTGAGGAGTTTTGGTACAGGTGAGCATGACTGGAAGCAAACGACACCAGAGTGTACTGTGGGCTGGGGCAAGGGTCAGACTAGAGTTCCCTCCCAGCGGCGACACACTGACCTCCAGCGTCCGGGCGGCGAGATAGATGCAGGCACAGGCGATGCTTTCGGGCTGGAACCGCACAAACACGTCGGTGCGAAGGCTGTCGTTCATGTAGTTCCTGAAAACCAAGCGCAAGAGGAACTGCAATGCCCCCGGCAATCTGGGACGTCCGTCTGAATTATCTAAAGTTACTACTCTAAGTAGTCTAATGCTAGGACTCGGAGCTAGACAGTCCTGTGAATCTCAAGAGTTAATGGAGGAACATTCTAGCTGCTTTTTCTGAATCAGGACAGGAAAGCAGAGAAATTATTGGGAAAAAAAAAAAAGGCTGGCTGAACGTCAGACAATACGTGTTGCTATGAAAGAGAACCGACTTTAACTTTACTTTTCCCCCTCAACTTCTGGCCTGCTCCCATGCAAAGCACAATACCTCAGAAAGAAAACGTCTACTATAGTGGTTAAAATGTATCTGATTAAAGAATCTAAATGCTCAAAATCCATAGTGCAGGGAGAAACATGCAAACTCAAATGAACTGGCTGAGCACGAAGCCTGCAAGGCTGTTCGAGACAAGCTGTCCTCTTGAGTTCCTTGTCCTTGAAGAGTGCTCACGGCCTGGCCCTTCTCTGGACGACTGAGCGCAGCTTCCATGAGGGAGTCCACTTGGAACAGGGAAAACAGCCCTGGGTGCAATTCGGACGCACGGGCGCAGCATGCAGAGGAGGCTCAGGACCCCAGGCAAGTCCTCTTCTCGGCTCAGCAAAGAGCCGTTTCCAAATTGTCCCATTGCAACAAGGAGTCTTAAAACGAACATTCATAAAATAAGACAAAGCAACAAAATACTAGAAGTTTCATCACAATTAGTACATTTAAAAAACTTTATCATGTTTAGAAAATATAAAAATTTTCATTTTTATAAAATTAAAAGGTTTTTAAACTGGCTACATTTTTAGCATTTTTCTTTGGATGTATTTCTCTAAGATTTAATAGACTAAAATCAGACCTTACATTCTCTTTATCAATATTGCAAAAACAAAAGATTAATTCCATGAGGAAACAGGTGAACAGGTTACATGGTCCCTACCCCACACACCCCAATAATGGCGAGCCGTGGAGTCAGGCTGTGGCTGGACTCATGCCCCCACCCTGCCCCTGTATCTGTACCCTAAATAAAACCTGGACAAAGTGACATACAAACCCACTCAGATTTCTAAACAATAAACACTACAGATGCCTCCTGGAGGCACCTGGCTCTGGAAGCTCTTGCTCCAGGAATCAGAAGGAAGCCGGTGTGATGGCCCAGTGGCCACACGTCCCAGCAGCAACTTTGCAAGTGAACAACACAGTGATAAACTTAACCATCAGTAACTTTGTTTCTAATAAAAAAATTTTCAGGATTCAAGTAGTAATAATATCAATCCATTAACTTTTAAGTCTTAAAACAAATGAAATCCTCAAAACATATTTAAACTTATTACTAATATTTAAATTAAGTTACAGTATTTTTTAAAGTGTCCATGGAGTAATTTAAAGATGCATACCTTTTACTAGAATGTGTCAAGCTTAGCTGCTGAAAGAGCAACTTTAGGACTTCCAGAAATAATGACATAATCCCACAGTGACAGTCTGAATTCCCATCAGCCAATTCACTTCAATTGTTACAACTTTCCACAGCATTTTTTAAAAAGAGAAAGGTACTGCATCTTTATGGTATAGGTACAGCAGTTTTAAAGGAACAAAATTCAAGTCAAGACAGTTATCAACTCTAATCAATACAATTACCAAAGCACAACAGAGGATTAACAAGAAGCACAATTGTCAGAACCACAAGCAGCAGTCGGCCATGACTATGCTATCGAACGCATACCACCAGTCTAGAGCCAGCCTTCGGTGGAGAGCCTGCACTGGATTGGCTGAAGACGCCGCTGTCCCTGCACCAAAGCGCTTGGACAGCAGAGGAGAAGTCTTAGTCACTTACCCTCAGAGGCTACCCTTTGATTGAAAGAGTACAGAAAAGGAAAGTCAAAATAGGTTCTCTGTTAAACCCATCATAGCACCAGACAATTCAGTCAGCAACATTAAGACCCTTACAGACTTAACTCCGTGGGAAAAACTCACTTAGACACCCAAACGCTAACTTGTACTTCGGGCTTCACTTCTAGCACATGCATGCATTGTTAAAATCAGTCACAGAATTGTAGCAAAACTTCCTCCCCACCTTTCTCCCAAGGGATGTAATTTCACAGGAAATATAATACCACTAAGCCTAAATTATCACCTGTCATCTTAGATTTCCCTGGGAAAGATCCAACTGTGCAAAATCAACAGCCCCTACAGGGAAGACTGCGGACTGTTCAAGGGTTGGGGGACATGGGAAATCAAGGGTTATGGGGAGGAGATGGGCCACCTACCGTCATGCCAGTGCCTGACATTTTGGGAGTCTGATTGGAATTTACGCACCAGGAACACTGGGCACTTGGACAACTCTAGCCCACAACCAAGTCATGGGACCGACTACCCACTGCCCAAGTGCCTCACATCAACACATTCCTGCACTGCCCTTGCTGGTCTCATAAAACAAGGAAGGTCAACTCACCATGAGGTCTGGACCAGGTGTTGGTTACGCTCACACTCTAACACCTGAAGGTACATAACGATTATCTGGAAGATACGGGTCAGGCAGTTATTACCAAGAACCTCAAGAGCCCAGAATTCAGATCTTGTGGGTGTCCATGCAGCAAATAAGAGCCTCATACTAGATCCCAGGGGTGGCTCCTGGTCACACATCTGGCGGATGGCTCAGCTGGAGGGGGAGTTTTGCTGATGCACCTGCCGCCTGCTTTTGCAGCAGGCAGCATGCATGCCTGTGTGGCCAGAGCTGCACACCCCATGGCATGGAAGGCCTAGTTCTTCACCGGGCTGATTTTCATTCTTGTCTTCAACACCTTTCCACCAGTGAGGTTAGCCTGCCCTAAACATCTCTGCACCCCAGTTACCAACTCGGACAGAACACAGTGTGAAAATACTTTCAGCAAATGAAGAAAAGCACTTAAATCAGTGATGGATAATTTACCAAGAATTTGAATTCATGCTAGAAAGGCTAATAAGCAAGAGAGAAGATATGAGGAAACCCAGCAATAAAAAGGGGATGAAGGCCAGGCGGGTGGCTCACGCCTGTAATCCTAGCTCTCTGGGAGGCCAAGGCGGGCGGATTGTTTGAGCTCAGGAGTTCGAAACCAACCTGAGCAAGAGCGAGACCCCGTCTCTACTAAAAATAGAAAGAAATTAATCAGACAACTAAAAATACATAGAAAAAATCAGCCGGGCATGGTGGCGCATGCCTGTAGTCCCAGCTACTCGGGAGGCTGAGGCAGAAGGATTGCTTGAGCCCAGGAGTTTGAGGTTGCTGTGAGCTAGGCTGACGCCACGGCACTCACTCTAGCCCAGGCAACAGAGTGAGACTCTGTCTCAAAAAAAAAAAGCGGGGATGAAGGCCAGGCTTTGTGGCTCACGCCTGTAATCCTAGCTCTCTGGGAGGCCAAGGCAGGTGGATCGCTCAAGGTCAGGAGTTCGAGACCAGCCTGAGCAAGAGCGAGACCCCGTCTCTACTAAAAATAGAAAGAAATTAATCAGACAACTAAAAATACATAGAAAAAATCAGCCGGGCATGGTGGCGCATGCCTGTAGTCCCAGCTACTCGGGAGGCTGAGGCAGAAGGATTGCTTGAGCCCAGGAGTTTGAGGTTGCTGTGAGCTAGGCTGACGCCACGGCACTCAATCTAGGTGACAGAGTGAGATGCTTTCTCAAAAAAAAAAAAAAAAAAAAGGGATGAAACCAAAATGCAAAACAATAATCTTTTTTGTAAAGTGAGTTTTTTGTTTAAGTATAACATAAATGATCCCCATGATATTGTACGTAAAGTACAGTAGCCATGCTCCTCAATCAATACGTGCTACAAAACTGCTTTAGTTCATCTCAGAGTAAAAGGGTTCAGAATTCTTCCAATGCTCCATAAGAGGAAGTAAGACCGTTACTAAAGCAACTTTAGAAAATTAGTTGTTGAGAAAGAAAAATGTATACTAACAGATTCAATTTTTACAAGTTTACCACTGTTTTTGAAAGCCCAATCTTAAAACATGCCATTTACAAAGCTCTTAAAAATGTTACTAAAATTAACAGATACTAGAAGACTACTGAATCAAAAATCGTTGAGATTACGGATATAAACCGGAAAACCAAGAAAAGGACGCACTCAATCCTCTTCAGAGCCTTCCTGTACTGACATGGCGAGAGGTGGCCAGGCTGAGGCAGTGGCCTGGGGGACCCCCGGAGGCCAGGCACATACCCACCTTGTGAGGATGTTTCACGTGGACGCAGAAACCCAGCTCTTTGAGAACTCGTCTTTCTGCCTTTATAATTTGGTTCTTTAAGTTAACATAATCTTGATCCAGCAGTAAAGGGACAGGTTTCCTACAAGGACAAAGCATGTGGTCCACATGAGGGTCAAACAAAACAAGGTCTTTCCAGTCCCTCGATTCGCCCCACATGGGGAGAAACTACTGTAAACGCCACGACAGAGACATCACTACCAAGTTCACTTCCTTTAACTAACAAAATTGCAAAATACCCCTCACACCCCAACGTGAACCTACTCATCCTTTCCAATAAGCTTCGCCCCTTTTCCTTACAGATAAACATCTCTCTGGTGCGCAAGCATGGACTGAACATACGAGGGTCTTAGGCTCTCACTGCACTTCGTCTGGCTGGAGACACGAGGGTACGTATTCGAGGGAAATGGATAACCAGAGAACCAATGAAAGCACAATACTTAAAAATAGACAAGACTGTGTTTTCCAAAGGAATTCCGTTAATGTAAGGAGCATAAAGTCTGGGCTAAGGTCTAGGGCAGTGGTTCTCAACCAGGGCACTTCTGCTATCCCAGGGCCATGAGGCAATGTCTAGAGACATTTCTAGCTGCCACAACTGGGGAAAGGTGCTCCCAGCACCTAGCGAGCAGAGGAAGGTGATGCTGCTAAACATCCTACAACACACAGGACTATCCACCACAACCGAGAGAGACCCAGCCCCAATGTCAGTGGTGCTGAGAGTGAGAACTTCTGCTCTAGAGTGTTCAGAAACACATGGGAAACAAGAAACGACAGGGTTGTGAGCTGACGTGGGCAAAGCAGGAAACCAATACCAGCAAGACTGGGGTCCCATCCCTCACTAGACAGCATCTGCTGGGTACCCCCTGCGCAGGCCCTGTTCTGGGTGCTTGAGAATACATTAATGAACATCCCACAAGCTTAAAACCTCACACCCTCAATTTTCTTATAGCGATTGTTATTGTAATTTGATAACCATAAAAAAACAAGACAGATGTTTATCATGCCTCTAATAAAGACTTACTTTTTCTCTCTCAGCTGTCGAAGTCGATGAAACACATTGATGACATCCCGTATGCGTCTTGGAGCTTCTTCTATTTTGGAGGCCAGGTGAACACAGGCCATTGACACATGCTGAAACGTAAGCATTGCAACAAACGGATGTTTGTTCCAATCCGACAGCCTCCAAAGGCTTAAGGGCTACTAAAAGCAAAGGGGAGATGCGCCCAGAGGGAAAGGAGGAGAAACAGACTCTGCAGCACAGGCGACTTCCAAGACCCTCCAGTACAGAGCTCAGACTAGGGGGCAGTTACTACATCCTCTGAGCAACTGGGAAAAATACCAAACCCAGGTTTCCTGTCAATATATTTCCTTGACAATGAGGCCTTACCTCCATGGAATGCTTCACAAAGGACTTGGTATAAAAGAACCGCTGGAACAGTACCTGCCCGGTAGCCATGGCCACCTAGAAAAGAGGAAAATTTCCATCATTGTTCCTCTCCATCATTCAAGACCTTGGCAGCTAGAAGTCAGCGGGTTACGCGGGACACCCGACACTGAGACCAACACTAAGACGTTTTCCACGTCCCCAAAGGGCTCTTCGAGTCCCGCCGCCCCGAGGCCCTGCCCGCTGGGGGACAGGACGGCGGGGGTCCGGGTCCGGGTCGGGGTGGGGCCGGCGGCGGTGGCCGAGGCCCGGCCCCGGCCCCGCCGCCAACAAAAGGCCCGCCGCCTCCCGGCGGTTACTGCGGCCGGGGCTCGCGGCCGCGCCCTCACCTGCGGCAGGCGGAGCAGGATGCCGGCCGCCTGGATGAGCTCGCAGCCCACCACGCGGAGGTCGGTCTCCGTGTCGGTGTCGAGGCCGCTCGACATGGACGGCGTGAAGCGGAGCTTGTCGTCAGGCAGAAGGCAGTTCTCCAAGGTGATGAGCACCCCGGAGTACAGCCTGTCCCCGATCAGCACCCCCTGCGACCCGGGGGCTGCGCTCCCCAAGCCCGGGGCGCTGGCCGCTGCCGCGGGAGCCGCTGGCCCCGGAGCCCCGGCCACCGCTGCTGCCGCCGCCATTTTGTGCCGCCGACTCCCCTTCGGCTCCTTCCCGCAGGGCGGCTACTCGCGGCGCACGGTGGCCGCGACCGCCCCGCCCCGCCCCGCGCCATTGGTTCGGCCCGTGGGCGGCCCCACGCCGCCTTGTGGCGATTGGCTAGACTACCTGTCCATCAGCGACGCACCGTCGCTGGAAACCAGCAGGCTCCGCGGCCCGGCCCGACCCGGAAGTGCATCTGCCCTGAGCGGGGCGCGGGTGCCGAAGCCGGGAGTGCCGGTCTCGCGATCACCTGCTCTTGCGCAGAGGCCCGGGTCGCGGCAGAGCGTGTCCCAGAAGCCTGGGGAGGGCGGGGGGGACCCTTCGCCCCGCCGTCCCCAGCGCGGGGCAGGGTTGGAGGCTGCGCTCGCCTGGCCCTGGAGGGTGGTCAGAGCAGTGCGGCGATGCGCTGGGTAAGTGTCCCCAGCCGCTGTCGGCGTCATTGCTCTTCGGTGCTGACTCTGGGCTTTGGGATGCACGTTAACAGCAGACTCTCTCAAGTTCTTGCCTTCAAAACTCCGCCCACAGGGAAGAGAGATGGGCAAAGGATCCTGTGTTCCTCCAGAGCCCCAGCAGCGCGCGAAAGGCCGAAGTCCCTCAAGGTTCAGGTCCGGGGATGGGGGTGGGGGAGAGAGGCCCGGGCGCTGTGTGGGAAGGGGTTTGGACATAGCCCTACAAACAGCGGGGGGCCACTGAAGGGCTTTATGCATATGCGAACATCTCTGGACTTTACTGACCCTCTGTCCGGGCGAACACAGGCCCTGCCCGTTATGCTTTGCAGGAGGGACAGACGCGGGACTTATCTGTCGCTGCAGTTCACACTTTCACCAGGGGTAGCACAGGGCCCCAGGTGAGGATGGTGGGGAAGCTGACGGGGGGGAGCTGCCCCTGACTACCCAGCTCAAACCGGCTCAAATCCAGAGGCCAGTTGGCTTTCACCCCCCGAGTCCTGCTGTGGGGCTGGCCCTGGCAAGGCTTGATCCAGCATCTCAAACAGTGTCAGCTGAGAACCAGTTTCTCCTCTCCCCTTCGCCTACGATGGGCAATGTGGTTAAAGCCACCTATCTCCTCTCCCCAAGACTGGCAGCTCCAGGACGTCCTCTCTGTGAGCTGCAGCTGCACGCTGTCCAGGAAGGAAGGACTCTCCTCTGGAAACCACCACACAGCTGGTTTCTCCTCAGCCCTGGCTGGGCTGCCTGCCCATCCCCTGATCTATAGCCAGAGGCATGGGACTTGGGACATGCTCCTGCTCTCTGGCCACTCAAGGCCAGGCCCTGTAGCTGGGGACGGGTCATTGTACTCCCTCCCAAGCCAGCATGAAGGGAAACCTGGGCTGGAGGAGGGTGAGTGTTGCAGGGGAGTGGCCCACAGTGGTCTACCACGCCCATCTTCCTTTGAGAGGGAATGCAGAAAAGGCAGCTCACCATGCTCAGACCCAGGTGCCACACACCAGAGGGCTCCTTGTCCTCCACCTTGTCTCCTCAGTAGCCATTTATTGACAGTTGACGTGCAGGAAGCACCCTATGCGCATAGTCAGGCACTGCACTTGTGCAGCAGAAAAGACTGAACAAGACTCAGCCCCCTCCGAATGCTTATAGCAGAGTGGCCATCCTTAGGCTCGGTGACAGGGGCCAGGAGGAGGGGCCTCTGAGGAGGCCGTGCAGTGGAGTAAGTAGTCAGGAGATGCATGGCCAGGACTTGAAAGGTTCTGCATGGGGCGGGAGGTGGGTGCCGAGTCTGAAGAATGGCTCCTAGGCAGCTGGTGGCACAGGATGAAGGACGGTGCCAGCACAGGGCAGTGTGGCTGCTTTGGGAGGGGAGACAGGTACTCGAGGTGGGAGCCCCTGCGGGACAGCCCCCCTGCGGGACAGCCGGTCCAGGGCTGGGGGTGCACTTTGCATGAACGTGGAAGGCATCAGCAAGCAGATGGGACAAGTACCCACGCGGTGTCTGTTGGGTTTATTCCAGTTCCAGGAGACCACTTTGGCAAGAGCTGTTGGGACATGGTGGGATCAACTGTGGACACCAAGAATGAGGCAGAAGAAAAGGGACCCCAGAGCTAGAGAGGGGGCTCCAGATGGGAACGGCTTTGGGTGGAGCCAGGTCCCCAAGAGGGCCAGGGGACACACTGTCTACTGCAGGGGGTGTGTGTCTGGCAGAGGGTTGGTAGAGCTCCCGTGGCTTGTTGAGAACATGGGTTCCTGGACTTAATGGAGGGGACTGTTAGCTGTTAAAAGACCTTCCCAGGTGACGTGTTGGAAAAGTCAACCCAATCTGCAGAGACAGAAGGGAGACTGGGACCAGAAGCACTGCCTGCTGGGCTGTGGAGTATGGAAGGGAGACAGCACGGAAACTGAGGCTGGTGTTCATTGATGCAGAAGCACTGAGCCACAGGGTCCCTGGCGGATACAAGAAAGAGACCAGGGGAAGGTGGAGGGTGAGGTCAGCCCTGGGCAGGGTCAAAGTAGGGAGTGGGGCGTTCGGGGTCATTCACGGACCCGGGTGCTGGACAAGCCACTCCATACAGCCCTTGAGGGTCAGAAGCCTGGGGCAAATCCCCGAATTTGCAGAAGGAAGGGGCAGGCTCAGTTGCATCCAACAACCAGGGACCCCTCACCCGAGCGGCCTCTCCCACACCACGTGACTGTTGATGGCGGGCACGCAGGCACCTCGGAGGCAGAGCACACCCAAGGTGTGTCTGCTTGACACGAGAAAACAACTCACAAAGCCAAACACCCCACAACTTTATTGGCACAATCTACTGGACAATCCTGTGAATCTGTCCCATTGAGAGAAGACAAGGCCTTCTCATGCCTCTTCCTGAAATGTAAATACAATTACAAATCAAACTTACAAACTGCTGACTAAATAATTACTTTGCTCTTATTTTCGTTATAATCATCAGGAAAAAAACCCTCCTCCTAATGTGCACAGCTGCAACCGCTCAGTGGTACCGCACCACTCTGGAAAAGATGCCTTCAGGCTCCTTCCCGTCCCCCAGGGCTGCAGCAAATCCTTCCTGTCGCCTCCTCTTGGCCAGAGCAGCCAGAGATTTGAAAGTCTTTGGTTCGTAGATGGCCAAATCTGCGAGCACCCTCCTGTTGAGCTCCACCTGGCACTGGGGAAACAGAGCCTACAGTCAGCATCAGAAATGACCTTCAGGAAGGTCCTATGCTGGGTGGGGTAAGGAGAATGCAGCTGTGGCAGCTCACGCCTATAATTCTAGCATTTTGGGAGGTCAAGGCAGGTGGACTGCTCGAGGCCAGGAGTTTGAGACCAGCCTGGGCAACACAGCAAGACCCCCATCTCTACAAAAATAATTAGCTGAGGCAGGAAGATCACGTGAGCCCAGGAGTTTGAGGTTGCAGTGAGCCATGATGACACCACTGCACTCCAGCCTGGGCAACAGAGTGAGATCCTTGGGGAAAAAAAAAAAAGAATGCAGCCCAGAGTCCCATGGTCTGAGTGTTCCTCCTCAGCACACCCCGGGTGACTCCAGGCAAGTCTCTGCCCTCCTGGAGGCCTGTTAATACTGAGGGGGAGGAGGAGGGGGTAGGAGGATCCTGTCTGGCTGACCCAGGAGAGGACTTCCAAGCAGGATGCTGAAGGATAATGTGGATGGGGTGAGGGAGGACACCTGTGTGATCTGGGAGAGGTGGCCAGAGTCCAGTGCCTGTGCCAGGCATGGAACCAAAGACCTTATTTAGAGACAATGGTCATTACTAGAATGGAACCAAGACTGCTGGCCTGGAGTAAACCAACTCAGAAGTTCCCACTAGAGAGCCGAGCCACAGCAGCAACCAAGTAAAACTGTAGGTGTCAGAAAGCTAAGAAACACTAACAGAGCCCCAGGAGCAAAGAAGGGTGACGATCTCAAGCATTAAATGCAGCCACTAAGGATGCAGCAGGACCGACTGTACCACCTGTGACCTATGTGTCTTGGGCAAAGTCTGTCTCCTTTCTGAGCCTCAGTTGCCCCTCAGTAAAATGGGGACATCACACACTTCCTAAGCTTGCCCTGAGTATCTTTATAAAGCACCAAAGACAGGGTTTGATCACCATGATTTTGCAATATTTGCTTAAACTAGCCCTTCTCTCCAAAACATTTCCCCTCCTTTTTGATTGTATAAGTTTCAGCATCACCTATGTCCTCAGAAATCGTTCAGTGTTAAAACTTTTAAATTAAAGTGAAAGCCAAGTTTTTTCTCCCTTTTTTCCTTAATGAGGAAACATCAAGGCTCACATCTCAGTACTGCATGCCCTGTTTCTAATTATGCTCTGCTACCAGCAGGGCAAGGGAGAAGCAAGTGTGGAAGCCTCTGACCTGCCAGAACCCCACCCCAAGGACAGAAAGCGGCTTTAGGGTGCAGCCCAGCAGGTCCCTTTGCCTGTGCTGCATGGACTCTGGCCAGGCTGGATCGTGCCTGATGGGATGGTTCTTGCAGATGCCCACCATCTCCCAGGCGCAATCCTCAACCGTACCTTAATCAGATTGGCAATGAACACTGGGTACTTCAGGCCATGTTCCTGGGAAGCAGCTGTAATTCGACTAATCCAGAGCTGAAATAAGAAAACACTGAGATGCTTAAGAACAACTTCTGGATGTTATATCCATACCTTCCAGCAAAGGCTCCAACTGAACTAAAAGGTATTCTTGTAAAAATAAATACAAGCTGGCGTGGTGGCTCATGCCTGTAGTCCCAACACTTTGGGAGGCCAAGGTGGGAGGGAGGATGGCTTGAGAACAAGAGTTGGAGGCTGCAGTGAGCTACGATGACACCACTATACTGCAGCCTGGGCAACAGTGAAACCCCGTCTCAAAAAAGAAAAAAAAAGAAAAGTTAGTGTTTTCTACTCAGGCTTGCAGTACCATCAATAACAGCAACCAAAAGGTTGATTTTCTTCACCCGACGCAAGTTTCACTTGTAAATGATAACACGCTACGAGGCATTAAGAATACAGAGATGAGCAAGAGCTTCTGCGACGAAGCTCAGTCTCGCAAAGGATCTTCACGGATAAATTATTACAGCCACTGCGATGAGTGCTGAGAGAGGCAGGGAGAGAACACTCAGGGTGGAAGCTTCAGGGAGGTGAACAGATGCCAGCAAAGAGCAGAGCTGATAGTCTGGAGGGAGGAAGGGTCCTCACAGAGTACTGGCTGGTAAGGACAGGTCTGTTCCACGCCCAGCAAACACCTGAACACAGCAGCAGCAGCGAGTGAGACTAATGGGTAGGCATGGAAAAACTGGAAGGGTGAGTCAAAGTGATGCTTGGCTGGGACATGGTGCAATGGAAGTCTCTGAATGGATCTGCTCTGAGGTTTCTTTTTTTTTTTTTCAGAGACAGGGTCTCGCTCTATCCCCCAGGCTGGAGTACAGTGGCACAATCATAGCTCACTGCAGCCTCCAACTCCTAGGCTCAAGGGATTCCCAGCTCAGCCTCAAGTAGCTGGGACTACAGGCAGGCACCACCACACCTAGCTGCCCCTTTCTGACTTTAAAGGGTCAGAACGAGCTTCTCACCACCTCCCCCACCTTCATTCATTCAGCCAATATTTACAAAGCATTACTGACCTAGACCCTGGGTTACACCACTCAGAAGAATAAAAAGATCCTTCCTGAAGCTTACATTCTAGTAGGGGGGAGGCAACCAGCAATAAACAACCAACCAAATAAACTACAAGGTATGTTAGATGCTAAGTTCACGAGAGTGGGGCAGGAGTGATGAGGTGTGCCTCTCCGAGAAGGTGGCACTTGGACAGAGCAGAGGGCCAAGCCATGCAGAAATCCGAAGGATTTCCAGGTAGAAGAAACCACAAGTGCAAAGAGCTTGTAAGGGAGCAGGCCTGGTCTCTTCAAGGAGCACGTCAGAAGCCGAAAGAGGCCCTGGCGTGGCTGGGCCTCGGGGAGTGATCAGAGGAACCAAGACTGTGGCCTAGGTTTGACTTGCTACCATGGGGACTGGAAGCCACCACAGGCTTTTAAGCACAGGGAAGATGTGAGCAGTAGGGACTGGGGTGGTGGTTGGCTATGCAGGAAGAGCGGCATGAAGGCCCGGTGAGCCATGGTGGTCTGGAGCGGGGCGGCAGCGGAGGTCAAATCGTGGATGTCCCATGTTCTGTGTGTGGCGCAGACAGGATATGCTGGAGTTCTGAACGTGCGATGTGAAGGAAACAAAGGAGTTGAGGACGGTACTGAGGTTTCTGACTCTGGCCCAGGGAAGGATGGAGAAGCCATTCGCTGGGATGGGGACGGCCCCAGCGGCCTGGCTTTGGACCCGCTAGGTTCGAAAGGGCTCTGGGGGTCGGGGCGGCTTGCAGCCCGGAGTCGCGGGACGGCCGCCCTCTGCGGCGCGACTCCCCAGGGTCGGGGACCAGGCGGGGGCCTCCGGGGCGCGGGGCTGCCGGGCTCCGGGTCCACGCTTACCGTCCTCATGTTCCTCTTCTTCAGTCTCCGCGCTTTGGTGCATTTCACAAAAGCTCTAATCACAGCTCTGACCGCCAACCTGTAGCAGCGGTTCTTCCTCCCCCGGAAATGCTGGGTTAAGAAACGGGAAACGAGGGCTGTCGGTGGGGCCCGCGCGCCACCCCCGGGCGCCCCGAGCGCAGGCCGGGCGCGGGCAGGCGGCACTCACCCGGGCGTGCTTCAGCACCTCCTGGATCCGCCAGTAGCGGTCGGTGACGCGGCTCCGCAGCCAAAGCTGCGCGGTGAGGAAGACCATGGCGCGAGCGGGCAGGCGTCTCGGCTCCTCAACAACACACGAACCGCGCCGCCGCCATGATACCCAGCGCGGAAGCTGCGGCCACGATCGCTTCCGGGTCGGCGGCCGGCAGAGGACTTCCGGGCGCCGCGCGTGCGCTCGACGCCCTTCCGGGAGCCGCCGGGCGCCAGTCCTCGGTTCCGCAGGCGCTGCGAAGGTGTAGACGCTTCCTGGACCTCGCAGGTGTTACGCGTGTAGTAGATTGGACGTGGCTGAGGTGGAAGAATGAAAATAGAACCGGGGATACAGCTTGTAAAAGAAAATAATATTTCTGAACCCTCCAAGTGTATTATGGCAGGGGGAAGTTAAGCCCTGGAGACCGAGGCACAGAGCTTGCTTGCAGGTCTGCCTGTTGGATGACAGCCGAACGCGTCCTCACTGCTGTGCGGGGAATGACCAGACTCCCCCCCACCGCCCCGATCTTGGCTGTGGATTAACCGCCTCCTTTATCGTCCTGCGCCTAACTCAGACTCGTGACTCTTACATCTTCGGTGCGGAATGTCCCCAAGAAAAGGACCTCCTCCACTAATCCGATCGTTGTAGCCATGCGTCAGCCTTACACAGAAAGATGCTGAAATTCTGTTAGGTTTCCTCGGCTTTGCCTATCAAGCAATCTCAAATTTCTACAGTTTGGAACACTGAGTTCCGTTCTTTGGAATCTGTGCTTTCTGGGCAGCCTGTCCTTAACCTCTGGGCTTGCATAAACTCTCTTTAAACTGGATTCTGACCCTTTTCATTATTTTAGGTTGACAAACCCAGTGTCCATCAGCAGATGAGTGGATAAAGGCAATGTGGTCTATCCGTACAATGAAATAGTACTCAGCCGTAAAAAGGAATGAAGGACTGATTTCATGCGGTAGCACGGATGAGCTTCAAAAACAGTGTGCTGACTGGAGGAGCTAGACCCAAAAGGCCATGTACTGTGATTCCATAGATACAAAATGGCCAGAAAAGGCAAATTCATAGACACAGAAAGCAGCTTGGTCGTTGTCAGGGGCTGGGGGGAGGAGGAATGGAGAGAGGCTTCTGATAGGTGTGAGGGTTTCTTTGGGGTGATGGAAATGTTCTAGAACTAGATCGTGGGATAGTTGCACCTCGTTGTGAATGAGATAAATGACACTGAATTGTACACTTTAAAATGGTAAATTTTATATTACGTGTATTTTACCACAATTAAAAAATGAAGTGGAGGCAAAGTGGGAGATACGCAATTTCTTATAACTTTTTACTTGGACATAATTTCAAATTACAGGCCGGGCGCAGTGGCTCACGCCTGTAATCTCAGCATTCTGGGAGGCCAAGGCGGGAGGATCGCTTGAGGTCAGGAGTTGGAGGTTGCTGTGAGCTAGGCTGACGCCATGGCACTCACTCTAGCCCGGGCAACAAAAGTGAGAGTCTGTCTCAAAAAAATAAATAAATAAATAAAATAATTTCAAATTACAGAAAATACACAAGACTAATAGAAGGAACTCCCCTATAAACTATACCGAAATGCACCCACTGTTTACATTTTGCTCCGTTTGTTTTATCATTCCAACACTCTTGACCCAAATTCACCGTTTACATTTTGCTCCATTCTTAAGTCATTTCTCTCTATAAATATTTATACACATCTTTTTCTCTGAACCATTTGAGAGAAAGTTGGAGATATCTTAATACTTTATTGTGTATTTCCTAAGAACAAGGACATTCTCTTATAAGCCACAGTACAATGATCAAAATGAGGAAATTTAACATTGGTATAATACTATTATCTAGCCTATGGTCCATATTCAAATTTTGTCAAACATCCCCTGTAGTTTTTTCTCCTGTTCAGGGTCCAGTCCAGGAGCACGCACTGCTGTTGGTGGTCGTGTCTGACCTTTAGTCTTAACCTGGAACGTTTCCTTTCTTTGTCCTTCTTGACCTTGGGGTTCTTGAAGAGTTCAGGCTGGTTCTGGTGCAGAAACTCCCGCAGTTTGAGTTTGTCTGATGTTTCCTCATGATTAGAATGAGGCTATACATTTTTGGCAGAACATTGTAGAAACATACTGTGTCCTCAGTGCAGAGCTGGGAGGCCGTGATGTCACACTGTCTCAGTGTCAGGGGTGATAATGTTCGCAAGCCTTCTTCATCATTTTTACCTTTGTAATTAGGAAGCGGTGTGTAGACAAACACTGTGTGTTATTACGGGCCACCCAGTAAGTAGATGCCGAGATAAAGTTAGGAACACAGAGATGTATTGTGTGATGCCTATTAAAGAAGAAAGAAGCAGGATTGGGCAGGAAGAACCTCAGGTGAGACAACATCTTCGGCTAACCCAACAGTTCTGAAGCAGAGATGGCCTGTTAGAGAAGTCTCGTGTGGGGTGCAAATGGCCAGACCCTGGCATCTCACTGTGCTCAGTCAGTGGCTGGGACTGCCAGGAAAAGCATGCCCTTGGCTGAAATGCTGCTGGGGACTTGCAGCGACATGACAGGTGCTGTCCTGAGCAGCAGCCCTCCGCAGGCACCACACTTTGAGATGACATAAATATCTTGTTCCTCACACTCACTCTCTTGAGCATCCTTTGGTGGTTTTCTAACTCCATCATTCTTTTCATACTTATTAATATTTAGCATTCTACTTAAAAAAGAGCTTTCCCCTTTTTTGGGGGGTGCAGTATTAACAGGGATAGAAGAGTCTGCACTGAGAGGGTGATGTTCGAGTAAAGCAGGAAGTGCGTAGCGGGGGCAGGCGGATATCTGAAGGAAGAGTGTGCCAGGCGGAGAGGCCAGCAAGCACAAGGAGGAGGAGCAGGCCTGGTGTGGTCGAGGAGCAGCAGCGCTGCCAACGTGGTTGGGGAGGAGCAAGCGAGTGTCCCTGGGTTGGGTCCGGAGTCTGAGCAAGCAGGAGGCTGAGACAGGAGCATTGTGTAGGGCGGGGAGGTCGCCGCAAGGACTTTCACGCTCCTGTTGCCACGCTGCATGATAGACTACCCAGAAACTTAGTGGCTTGAAACAACCATTTTATTTTACTCACCATTGCAGGGTCAGGAATTTGGGACGGTGGGCAGTCCTGGCTCAGGGTCTCATGCAGTTGCAGTCAGTAATGAATGGGGCTGAAACAGTGCAGAAGGGGGAACTGAGGCACCTGTCTCTTCATGTAATCTCAGGACCTCTCCGTGTGGCCTCTCCTCCGGCTTGTCTGGGTTTGTCTGGGCTTCCTAACAGCGTGGCGGCTGCAGGCAGCAGGCTGACTGCTTGCAGGGCGGCTGAAGGAACCGTGAGCAGGTCTCCCCCCACCCCCCCGCAGCCCCCTGCAGGGCAATGCAGAAGCTGCACTGCATTTCTGGCCCACCCTTGGAAGTTGCATAGCGTCACTTCAGCTGTGCTCTGGGGTCCCAGTAGTTACAAAGTCCACCTGCCGTCAAAGGGAAGAGATGCAGACGCTGCCTCTGGAGAGGAGGGACCCAAGGTCGCATTGTGAAAAGGGACACGGGACGGAAGGTATTGTTGAGGCCATCTGTGGAAAATACGACACGCCACGTTTGGTTTTTACTCTGAGTGAAAGGGAGCCACTGGAGGGATCTGGAGCAGGGGAGTGACATCATCCAGCTCGTTAAAGGAGGTTACAGCCCCTGTCCTGAGATGGGCTTCAGCGAGCCAGAGGCTGGCGAGGGCGACAGTGGCGTGGACGGTGGTGGGTGCCGCGCGCGAGGGGAGAGGCAGGCAGGCTCTGGTGTGCCCCCGAGCTGGAGCCCACAGGCTGTGCTGACCAAGTGCAGGCCCATCGGGGCCTCGAGCCATCCTCCTGTGAGGATGCCAAGCATGTCACCCTGCACCCCACACCTGCTTTCTCCTGCATCTGCCCTCCCCTCTGCCTCTGGCCCGAGCCCAGCTAGGCGCTTTTGTTATTTCTCCCGTTCCCTCTTGCCCCACATCCAACCCGCTGGTGGGTCCAGTGGGCTCTGGCCACAGAATCTGCCCCCTCTGCCTGCTCCCCCACCTCCACTACCGCCACCGTCCTCCTGCCCCTCCCCAGTGGCGTCCCCTTCCTCACCCGGCAAGCTCTCCCCGTCAAATCCAACCGCTTCCATGGCCCCTGGGGCACAGAGGCACTGACGTGGCACCCTCAACTCTTGCTTTTGAAAGGCCAAATCTGTTCTGTAAAGCTGTTTTCTCTCTCTCAAAAAAAAAAAGACTTTCGCCTGTGGGGCCCTGCCAAAGAAAGAAAAAAACCTATGCAGTATTTTTAAATCAAATAATGACGCCATGATGATTTTCTATGAGGATGCAGAAGTGGGTGGTCACAGACGACTGTCCTGGCTCTGCTACACCTGAGGGACTGTTACTCTCTCCAGGTGGCTGAGTGAAGACATGGAGAAGCTAATGCCACTGGAAGAAGATTTTCAGGACTTGTATCTCCCAGGGGGTGGGGACGTGCCACACCACGCCGCACCCCGTAGGGCCACACGGGGAAGCACCAGCTTTTGGCCCAGGGGCAGAGGGAGCAACGGGGAGGCTGAGGCCTGTCGGGTTTTCTGGGAAAAGCAGAGCAGGGTGAGCAGCCTAGGGCAGGCCAGTTTGAACAATTCCAGCTGGCCCTGGGGTCCAGGGGCTGTCCCTAGTGGCCGGTACCTGCCTGGGTGACTGGGGAGGGGATGTTGGTTTGGTGTGGGAGTTAGGCGTGACTGAGAGTGTGGGCTCTGGGTGGAAGGGGAGATATAGACAACCATGGCCATTAGTATGGCCCCGTGATTCGTGGATGCCAAGCAGACACATACAAACCTAAGACCACACAGTGGGAACACCCCATGCACGGAGAGCCACTGAGGGGCCCCCATGGTGGACAGACAGAGGGGGGACCATTAGGTTTGGGTCTAATCTGTTGCCGTGACTCAGTCCTCGCCAGAGCGTGGAGAAGGCTGGAGCCTGAGCCACCCCAGGTCACCCCTCCAGGCAGGTGGCTTTAGCCCAGAGAGAGGCACCTGGAACTCTGGGGCTGTGGAGCCAGGAGCCTCCTGTGCTGCTCCAGACACAAGGCTCAGCCTCGCTCCACGAAGCCTGGGGAACGTGGGGCCGTGGGTCCCAGCATTCCTGCTGCTGCCTTCAGAGGGCAGGCAGGGCCTAGGGCAGGCCCCCCTCGGACATCTGGGCCACCTCATCCCACTGCGTCCTCAGGGTGGGGCTGTGCGAGGGCGGGTGTGTCTTATGGAGCAGCCGGCAATGCTGACCACCCGTGTCCAGAAGGAGGCGCAGCACGGGCTCAGGGTGCCCACCCACCCCAGCGCCCTGCAGCCCCCCACGCCCAAGGGCAAAGTGCCCTGAGGGCCCTGCCTTGGCCTCTCCCCACCTCCCTAGAGGGCAGCCCCTCCAGGAGCCCAAAGGCAGGGTCTCCAGGCAAAGGGACCCCATAAACCTCCTGGTCTACATGATGCCACTTCCCAGGGCACCCGGAGCCTGACCACCAATCTGAAGCAGCATCTGTCTCCCACTGTTTTCTGTTCTTAGCACTTACCACTACACGAAAGTTTCTGTTTCATTGTAAATGCCTACCTTCCTCTTCTAGAGCGAAAGCTCCGTGAGGGCACATCACGCAGGCTGCGTGGTAAAGCGGTAACAAGTTCTGGACGTGTGTCATTCCCGTGCTCCTTGTCCCACAGGACACCGACCTGCGAGGAGCGGGGCACCCTGTCACAGAGAAGCCCCGTCCCCACGGCAGCAGTGCCCCAGGCCCTAGCGTCGGCCTCCCACTGGCCTCCCCGGAGGTGGACAGGTGCAGGCTGAGCCTCATGGTGGCCCTTGCGAGACTGCCGGGCTTGCGGTCTTCCCGCCTGGGCGCGGGTGGACACAGGCAGGTTGTCAGCGCCGTGGACTGATTCTGACGAGCCCGGAGCCTGGCACACAGCAGCAGTTCAGTGGAGCTTGTTGAATGAATAAATGTGGGGCCGAGCAGAGGGTGGGCTCAGATCACAGATGCTTTTCAACTTTGTTTTACCCCAAATTCACTATCTGAATAAACAAAGAGCCACCGTAAGATCTCGTTAGCAGCGGAAACAATTGAGTTGTCTGCAAGTCAGGCAACAGGCCGGGCCTGTGCTACGGGACAGACTCCTGACAGAGCACGGGGGTGTCACAGCTGAGCACTGTTGCTGTCCCCATTCACAGCTGGGGGGCTTGAGAGGTCTGGAAAGCATGAAAGGAAAAGTCGGAAGGGACCAAGCTGACTTCAGGGAAGTCACAGGGAAACCCAGACCACCTGCTCATGAAATACCAGTTAATTATGAAAATGGTTTAAAGTGCTGTGTGTGTGTGTGTGTGTGTGTGTGAGAGAGAGAGACAGAGACAGAGACAGAGACAGAGAGACAGAGAGAGAGAGAACCCTGGCAGACTTAGGTGCTATGGTATTTTAGTGACATTTGGGGTTTTGGTTGGGGTTTTGGACGGGCTAGGAATGATGGTTTCCCTCCGCCTGGAATAACGGGTCTATGCCCCCGCATCTGAAATGCTGCTATTCTGTCTGCTTCCGGGGTGGGCTGCACTCAGGTGCATGCTGGTCATCCGGCTGCTGTTCGCTAAGCGCCTACGGTGCGCCAGGCCCCACACCGTGTCTTGTCCTCTCTCCACCCCGATGGAGACAGCCAGGGTCTTTCCTGTCTTACCCAGGAAGAGGGGAGCAGCGGGGACTGGGGCTGGGTGGCCTTCCCTGGGCGGCCTCTGCTGATGGGGCAGCCAAGACCCATGAAGTGAAGTCACTGTGTGAGGGAGCCGGCCTGAGGAGGGGGCGGGGCCCGGAGGGAGGGCCCCAGCGCGCAGGGACAGCCGTGCAAGGCCTGGCCAGAGTACACAGGAGCTGGTTGAGGAAACTGGCCAGGGCTGGAGCTGCAGTTGCCTGGCAGAAGGAGGCCCAGCCTGGCATTGGGGGAAACTGAGGCAGGAGTGTGGCCTTGGAGACGGTCAGGGCTGGGCCTACCTGGGCCAGAGTCCACTATCTGGTTGCTGGGATCCGGATGGGGTCCAAGTCAGGGAGAGCTTAAGGTTCTCTGGTCTGACCCCGGGGACCCTTGGCCCCACGGCCGGCCTGGACATGAGTGAGCAGGAGACGGAGACAGAGGAGGATGAGGGAGGAGGCGCCTCGGACATAGCACCCATGCTGCCCCGAAGGCCTCGCGACCACCGGGCCACGGCCCTCACGTGCCCAGGGCGGCCAGGCAGGGCTGCCCCAGGCCTCGGGCCCCTGCTGCTGCCTGGCCGGGCCCTGGCTGGGCTCCTGCTGCACCTCCTGCTGCCGGCTACCGTCTTCCTGCTGCTGCTGCTCCCGGCAGCAGCCATCGTCTACCTGGGATTCCTGTGCCACTCGAAGGTGAGCCTGAGCCCCTGTGGGTGGGGGACTGGCTGGGGTCACTGGGAGTGGGGGTCCTGCGGAAGTTCAGGGCCCCTGGGCCTGAAAACGAGCCTGCCCCCTTCCAGCACCACCCCCGTGTCCCGGAGACACACGTGCCTCTCCCTGGGAGCCCCTTCTTCTGCCAAGCACCCCCACGCTGGCCACAGCCAAAGAAGGGCTTTTGTTTGTCACCCAGGGGACAGCTCTCTCCCTTGTACCAGGGGCCACCAGGGCCTGGACAGCCAGAGAGGAGGAGGTGGGGGGAAGAGGGAGATTGCAGGCAGAGAAAATGAAAATGTCAGATTTCACACACACACACACACAGCCCTCCCAGGCTCTCCTGCCCTGGGCTGGGTTCCCCACTGCGGAATGGGCTGAGGCTGGGCCTGCGCAGGGAGGTTGTGGGCAGATGGCCCTGGCCCCCTTCTGCAGGCATGGGCGTGGGGGGAGAAGGTGGCGCTTAGCTGGTGGCAGCCGGCAGGGGCTCGGGGTCAGATGCCAACGAGGAGAAGGCTCAGGAGAGAGCAGAAGGGGGCAGGAAAACGGAGTGGGGGAGCCGAGAGGCAATTCTCCGAGCCCCTCCACAGGAGACCCCTATCGGGCCATTTACCCTCTGGGTCGCGGGTGCCGATTCCCATCTCAACACTGCTGGGCCCGCTCCGCCCGACCTCAGGCCCCGCCCCCCGGACCCCGTCCCCACCCGGCCCC